TAAAAGTTAATCTTTTCCTACACAACCCTACACTCTCCTCTCCTGAAAGACACTGATCTTACCAACTCTGTATCTCTGCTTTACATTTTTAGTCCCTAAGCAAGGATATGGGGTGTAGAGGGTCAAACACACCTTGCTAGTAGTGAAAGGCTCCCATTTCAATGGAGTCCTACATTTTCTGACTGATCCTCACGATTGTTGGCTGGAATTGAGTGGAGGTCATGCAAACAAACTGAGAAGGAAAAATGACATGTCTAGAAGTTATATGCCCAATGTTGCTCAGCCCTTGGAGTTCCACTTCCTATGCTTCAGGCATAAAAAGTACTAAAATCGCAAAATGTCCAATTGCACTAAAGGTTTCCCATAGTACAATGAGGACTTTATTACTGCTGGTGTGTGTGTGTCTGTGTGTGTGTGTGTGTGTGTGTGTGTGTGTGTGTGTGTGTGTGTGTGTGTTGCAGAATGTGATTAATCTCAGTCATTTTCCTGCAATTTCTGGGAATAGAACGTTAGAAATAAGTCATAAAGAAAGAGAATACCATTCCAACTTCATTACAGCTGAAGTTTCTGAACAAGGCAAACTCTACCCGTGATCAAGAATGTGTGCTCCAGAAAAGAAAACATTAACTGAAACAGAAGTTCTTTGACTTTTCATTCTAACTCAGGTGGTGGCTGTGACCTCCCCTTTGTCTAGATATGACCTGGCAAACCTCTGACCTCACAATTGTATTCAGGTGGATAGTCTGAAAAGCCTTTTTATATAGGAAATGAATGAAGAAGGGGATTGCTGCCTCAAAGAGAAAAGGACCACTGATCTAGGCTATAGTATTTTTTTTCATTTTTCTTTATTAAGAAATTTTCTACTTATTCCACATACTATCCACAACAGCCCCTCCTTCCTCCTCCCACCCCCTAGCTCTCTTTCCCAAGACACCCCACAACCCCACATCCCCCAAATCAGCAGAGTCCAGCACACTGAGCCTAGGCAGGTCCAAGCCCCTTCCCACTGCACCAAGACTACAAGGTGTCACATCACGGGCACTGGATTCCAGAAGCCTGCCCATAGACGAGGGACAGATCCCAATCCCCCTGCCTTGGTGCCTCCCAAACAGTTTGAGCCAAACAACCATCTTCCGTATCCAGAGGGCCTAGTCCAGTCCCATCGGGGCTCCACAGGCACCAGTCCACAGTTCATGGGCTTCCACTAGTGTGGGCCGGTCATCTCTGCACGTCCTCCCATCATGATCTCCATGTCCCTTGCCTGCCATATCTCTCCTCTCTCTCATCAATGGCTATAGTATTTTTAAAGTAGAGTAGAGGTCTTTATTTAAACAAAGATTTTTACTGCGTGGGGAGGATTAAAACATTTGCATAATTGTCTTACCCAGTGGAGGAGACAAAATATTTTAATTTCTTGTCCTAAACACAAGTTTTAGAATATTTGATGGAAAAGGCTTGCATTTGATATTTCAATGGTGGATGCTGGATAAAAGCCCATTAGCACATTCTAATTGCTGTCTTTTCAAAAATTTGTTTGATTTTCCCCTCTGCACTCCATATTGAAGCTCATGGTTATATTTACACAAACATGCATACACATACATTCACACATGCATACATACACAGAGATGCAAATATACACATACAAACATAGATATATACACACTACCCACACACACACATATTCACATACACATACATACATACACATACACATTCACATATACTTATTTACACATACACAGATATACATGTGCATACACATATACATAAACAGATGCACACACACACATGTACACTATACACTTAAAAGTTGTAGCCCTAAGTACCTTAATAATGCATACCTCTAGACATTGTTTATAAAATTAGTTTGGGATAGTTATTGTGATTATCAATTCATAAAAATATTCTCCTTGATATCCCCTAATATTAAATTTTAAGGGCAAAATACTAGTGGAATTCTTTTGATTTAACCCACCCTACCCCCAAATTAAAAAAAAACATGTAAATCAAACCAAGTATCAAATATTTTAATAATTTTCTATGTGGATAAACTTTTTCGTGGGTATATCATATAATGTTTATGTCTCAAAATTCTCTTAAAATACTTTCAATAGTTTAGAAAATTAAACTTCAAAGCTTAGACAAACTGAACAGCATTACAAAGATAGGAAGTCAAAAGTAGCTATGAATACTTCAGGCCTTTCTGTTGCTGCCTGGCCTCAGCATGGGGTCTACTCATGCATAGCTGCATGGATGCTCCTATTCACATTCATTAAGGGGCAGGAGGTGCTCAAAATACTTCAGAAAGTACTTTGGTCTTTTATGGTCACACAGTGTACCTACTATTCTGTGTAGAAATATCATCTTTGTTACAAGTTCTATAAATGAAAATATATTTTTGAATATAAGTACTTACAGAATAATTTAGAAATTTCCAATGTGACTTTTCAATAGACAGTTTATGTAGTGCCCAAGTTAGTCCACAAAGCAAGGTAAATCTAAATTCAGCTTTATCAGGTTGCCTGGCAGGAATCAAACCTAAAAAGTTCTAATGGGATGAACTAAGCCCCCTTGCAGCAGGTGTTTATGGTGGCAATGCCTCTAAAATCATGGCTGAGTCTCCCTCCAAGGACAGCTGGATTTTTTTTTTCACAGCAATTTAGATTCCTAGTTTTAAATTGAACTACCATCATGATTGTAAAATTCTCAATTGCTTGTGTTAAACTACTGTTTTCCAAGCATAATAATTCTAGCTATATGAGTATCAGTATTCTGAAGCCTAATGAAATCCTAGAACCTGTACTGCAAACATAACTTTTGAAAGTTTTGTGTTCCTAGTATTTAGTGAAAACTTTTCTGATATGTATTTGCAGATGTTCACTCAATAGGGACCATTCAAGTGAGGTGATGTTTCACTGAGTTTCTGCATTCTTATAATATATACCTAGATGTTATTAAATACTGAAGAAAATATGAATCTGTTTAAAGCAATTTCTAATAATTTGGAGAAAAATGAATTCAGATTTTTATTGTATAATTCTGTTACACTTTTCCCATTTAAGCTTCAGAAAATTACCGTATAGCTCATCAGCCAAATTTCTAACTGAGATAATTTGGCTGTCTACAAGAGGCGTAAACAAGATAATTGAAATGAGATAAAACATAATTGAAAAAGGAATTCTCAGCAGTGTGAAATGTGGTTTAAAAAAGGCTGGCTTCCAAAATGGGAAGAAACATAATTCAAAGTGCCCACTGTTTATGTTCCATGTATGGGGAAGGTTCAGGCTCTGAAGACACCCCGGAGTAAAAGAAGAAGAGGAAAAAAGTTCATAGGCAAATTGGTTGCATAGCAACAGCAGATTTACTAACATAATGATAATGTCTATCAGGGGTTACCTAGCATAATGTACACAGTAAAAGCACCACATCAACCATCATAGGACTGAAACAAATGTACATAAATACTAAGTGAAGTAAGTAAAATTTACATTGAGAAGTGTGCTCATTTTCTGAGCCCAGGAACAAGAATAGAGCTGAGAACACATTTACATATACAGTCACTGTGATAGCTGACCAGAAAATGAGACAAACAAAGTTGAATGTATGGGTCAACCCACACAGAAACATCGCACGATTGAAAGTTTTATAACAGAAATACTGTTTAGGAGGCCAATCTGGGTTAGTGATTGTAGGTTTCAGAATCTACAGGACCAGCAGCATTAAATTTGACTGAAAGATGGGACAGCTCTGCTCAGCACAGTGAGGTAGGGACTAACCCATCTCGGTATTTATGTATATCAAAATCTCTGGCTTTCTTGATACAGTAGTAAGGCTGAGCCTTGCAGAAGTTGGCCCTAATCTCATGATGTACAGAGAGTAGGGAGACATTGGGACATTACGGAACATGGGATATAGTGCCTCTGGCATCTTCTTTCACAACATCTATTATTTAAATGTTAATCTCAAGGCTCACCAGACCATGAAAAAGCCTATTCACAAGCATCTGAGGCTTTGATGATGACTTTTTCTGGAAAAAAATGTTGCTGAATTAGTAAGTAATATAAATGTAAAAGACATTTAAATCACTCAATTTGTACTGGTAGACAGAATAATGCTTGACATAAAATTAGCTAAGACAGTCACTTCCTGCTAAGTATACATGTATGAATATAATGAGCACTGAGAGCAAGTGAAATAAAGCTTGGTGTTTATTCTATATGAATAAAGCATGTTTCCATCACAAATTTAATTTTTATTATACAATAAGAGTCAAAACATGCTTTATATCTGAATGACAAAATAGTATTTTTAAAATGTAGTTATGATTTCTGCTGCAAACATCGATTTACAAAGGAAAGGCCGTATCATTTAGAAAGTTGCAATGTGATTAAATAAGAGAAAAGCAACTGTTTGTTGAACCCCTAAAACTCCCCCATCCCATGACATTTTACACACCACAGCAGAGATGAAAGGAGAAAGAGCCAGACATGAAAGATGCTTGTGACTGATTCTGGCATCATTTCTGTTGTTAGTTTTTCTCCTTCTAACACTCATTATTGCTGTGGGCTCTCTATGTTTCATTTTTAATGGAAACCAGAATCCTCCATGAGAGAGACACACTAAAAATCTCATTGATATCAGAGTTTCACAGTAATAACACAGGATTACTTTAATGAGAAGAATGTTTCCATCATGGAGTTCATGGAGGCAAACCTACATAGCATAGCTAACAAAGATTTTCTTGTCTTATATTTTAGGGGGACATTGAACATGAAATAGATTTTTTATATATCACATCATTAGAAGATACTTTTTGAATTTAAACTTAAATCCCTGTTTGCTATATTTGCATGAAAAAATACTTAATATTGATTAGCACTTCATATCAATCAAACAGACAGATAAGTAAAATATTCTATCTCTAACATCAATATTGTCCATATCGCAACCCCAATAGTAATGAAAGAGACTTTCATTGACTATCTTTGTCTCCTCAGATAAATTTGCAAAGAAAAATGAGAGTTACTGGTGTTATTACCCAAGGAGCCAAAAGGATTGGCAGCCCAGAGTACATAAAATCCTACAAAATCGCCTACAGCAACGATGGGAAGACCTGGACCATGTACAAAGTGAAAGGCACCAATGAAGACATGGTAAGACTACCTCCTCCTCCTCTGGAGTTTAACTCAAATTCCATGATGGCCGCATGTGACCATATAACTGACACCCAAGCCTTCTGCTAGGGGCTTATGTTAAACTACACTTCTGTAGCATTTTGGATTTAATTGGGTAAAGGGCTTCCCTAAGATAGGAATTTCTAACTGCTGCCATTTAAGAGTTTCTCACATTTTAATTGGTGCTCCGACAATTACTTGTCAAAAAGTTAGCGGAGAGTTGTGCATAACAAGCAAGCTGCTTGAAGGACCACCGGCTTTCCAATCATTCTCCCTGCTTTCACAGATCGCCTTCTCCTCAATCAAATAATTTACTATTTTAAAAACAAGAACATTGAATGGCAGAATGGATGTACATCTGTACATATTTTGCATTGGAAATGTGTTTGTTACCGAGCAAAAGAGAATGTTGTAAATGAAATGAGGACAGCATCTAATATCGCCTTTTCCTTTGGTGCTCAGATTTTGAAACTAATTCATTTTGCAATAACATTTGAAAGTCTGGTTAAAAGCACAGAAGGAACGGTGCTTATCAGAAAAGTCTATTTATCTGCAAGTGGACAGACTCAGATTAACTCGAAGGGGTTGGGGTGCTAACTTTTAAGAGAGAGATGATACCCAGCACTCGGGAGGCAGAGCCAGGCGGATCTCTGTGAGTTCGAGGCCAGCCTGGGCTATCAAGTGAGTCCCAGGAAAGGCGCAAAGATACACAGAGAAACCCTGTCTCAAAAAACCAAAAAAAAAAGAGAGAGAGAGAGATGATAAACAAACAGGAAAGATGGATAGATGATATAGATGATTGACATATGATCTATAATTATATATGATCTATAATTATATGTGTGCATGCATATATATAAAGAGAGAGATACAGAGAGACAGAGACAGTGACAGGGAGAATGGCTTCCTCTGGCTCTGCAGTCCTGGTCTTTAAAGTGGTAGAGGAGAGGGCTGGAGAGAGAGCTCAGCAGATGAGACCACTTATTGCTCTTGCAGAGAACCCTGGCTAGGTTCCCAGCGTCTACACTGTGGCTTACACCAATCGAGTTAACTACAGTTTCAAGGAATCTGATGTCTTTGTCTAACCTTGGTGGGTACGAGGCACACCCATTGTGCACATACATACATGCAAGCAAAACACTCGTGCACGTAAAATTAAATAAACCCTAACAAAAATTTAAAAACTAGTCAGGGAAGTATGATTATATCACAGTACACAGTGTGCTACAGTTTTAATTTAGATTTTATATGAGGCTTTTTGTTGACTGTTGATAGCAAGGTGCGTTCTAAATTCTCAGTAATACTTTATTATAATCTTAGAATTGTGTTGAGTGTGAGTATTTTCACATATATGAAAAAAAACCAAAGAATCAATTGCAAATGTATATGTACATACACACATTCAGGCACACATACACATATACACAACATATATATTTATACACACATATGTAGACACATATGGGTAATAGTCTCACACTGTAGCCTAGACTGACTTTGAACTCATGGTGATCTTTCTGTCTCGGTCACCTTAATACTGTTACTACAGGCACGAGCCACCATGGCCATCTTTTAAAATGCTGTATGTCTTTACACAGGTGTTCCGTGGAAATGTTGATAACAACACCCCCTATGCTAACTCTTTCACACCCCCAATCAAAGCTCAATATGTCAGACTCTATCCCCAAATTTGTCGAAGGCACTGTACGTTAAGAATGGAGCTTCTTGGCTGTGAGCTTTCAGGTAAGTCTTCTGTTTTCTATTACGAAACTGCCTTTAATGAGAACAGAAAACATCTCTGCACATGATTAGTTACTAATCTCTAGGTTCTCAGCACTCACGGAAGTTTATTTCTTCTACAAAATATGTAGGGCATGGTTCAATGAGAAAACGCATGCTGTTTATGTGTCAAATCAAGTTGTAAAGCACCCTGAAGACATAGTACAGAGTCAAGTCCATATCCATGTAATCAAATAGAATACAGGGAATTCTCATGGGAAGCTGTCATCAAAAGATGTACCCCATTGATTTTGGTCGTAAACATGATTTATATTTGGTAATGAAAGTTCAATTTAAAAATACAATCCGCTTGACCTCATAAATTGTGCAAATTCAGACTATAAGGTCCAGAGAAAGTAAGTTTTATCTTTAAACTTGGTGCTTTCTTTTTATATTTTATGAAACATGTAAATTTATCATCCCTCCCCAGGGAACAATACTTCAACACCAGGAGTACTACTATAAATTCATTCTTTGAGCATTCTCAGCTGGCAACCTGCTTATTATATAAGTCATGGTTATCTAGCTCAAGGGTAATCCATCAAAGAACATACAGTTAAATAATTCTCCTGCAGGATCATCACAACAAGCTACAAACACAAAAACTTTATGTCTGGATCCCATTTTACTTTTGTAACTATATTCTGAACTAAATAGAAAATCCCTTCTGCTTATTCCACTCAATTATGTTTTAGAGGACAGTTACTGTTTTTCATGCATACTAACTTACCTGTCTTTGCCATGGCGACAAAAGATTTTCTTTTGTTCAAACACTGTGAATAAACTGGAAAGTTCACTTGTGTCATGTTTTAGCATAATCCCCCAAGCACGGAAAACCTCTTACCAAATTTGAAAGAACACTGCTGTTATGAAAAATTAAGTTAGTTCTTTGAAAATTTCATACATATATTTAATTCATGCTTATTACTCTCTCTCTCTCTCCCACCCTCCTGTAACTCCTCTGTGTCCATGAACCCACATTTCTCCCTACCTGCCCCTTACTAGAAAGAATCCTTTCCTAGAGGAGAAAACTGAGGAAATAATTGTAAGCAAATAGAAGATGGTATTTAAAAACATCATTCTTTATGAGCCTATTGCATTGAAAGAGATTACAGTAAATTTGCTGTATGAGTGAACTTACTTTAAGGACCACATGGGCACAATCTACACCAGTGTTGTTTATGGAGAAATGTTTCCATTGCCATTAAATATCTTCACAGAGATTTTATTTTAATTATTTGGACCATACTATTGACTGTTAGTAAATGTGAGCAGAATTATTGCTACAGAGGTTTGTATTGCATGTCACTTTATCACCAGAGGCCAGTGTCATCCCTAAGCCATTTGTCATAAAGCAATCACGAGGAAGCCACAGTATGATGAGGTTTGCAGTAAGCCCTGTGGTTTTTGTTGTTGTTGTTGTTGTTGCTTAACATCACCTTTTCCAATTCCTCAAACCTTTGATTCATGAGGATCAGCTTCTCATACATGACACAGTTCCACCCTTAAGGTGTAAATATATTTTGCTTGCAAGCTTGACAAGAGGTTACACCAGACACTTTACAGACCTTATTTTCTAAAAAGGAAGTAGTGTTCTAACTCCCAACCCCACAAATTGATTTTAAACCTGGGTGCAGAGCACAGTATCTCTTGCTGGCTGGTTTTATTTTATATTAGTTTTGGTTTTTCTTATTTTTTTTTTTTTTTTTTTTTTTTTTTGGTTTTTCGAGACAGGGTTTCTCTGTGTAGCTTTGCGCCTTATCCTGGAACTCGCTTTGGAGACCAGGCTGGCCTCGAACTCACAGAGATCCGCCTGGCTCTGCCTCCCGAGTGCTGGGATTAAAGGCGTGCGCCACCACCGCCCGGCTGGTTTTTCTTATTTTTATTCTTTATTAAGAAAATTTTTTATTCATTTTACATACCAACCACAGGTACCACTCTCATCCCTCCTCCCAATCCCCCAAAACCATCCCCCCAACCCACCTCCATCCCCTCCTCCAAAAATGTGAGGTCTCCCATGGGGAGTCAGCAAAGCCTGGTACATTCAATGGGTCCAAGTCCTTCCCCCTGCATCAAGGCTGTGCAAGGTGTCCGACCATAGGTATTGGGCTCCAAAAAGCCAGCTCATGCACCAGGGATAGATCCTGATCCCATTGCCAGCAGACCCTCAAACAGACAAAACTACACAACTCTCTCAATTATGCAGGGAGCCTATTCCAGTCCGAGCAGGCCACAGCTATTGGTCTAAAGTTTATGAGTTCCCACTAGCTGGGTTCAGTTGTCTCTGTAGATGTCCCCATCATGATCTTGATGCCCCTTGCTCTAGAATCCCTCTTCCCTATCTTAGACTGGACTCCTGGAGCTCAGCCTGGTGCTTGGCTGTGGATCTCTGCATCTGCTTCCATCAGTTACTGGATAAAGGCTCTGACAGTTAGTGTATTCACCAATCTGATTACCGGTGTAGGCCAGCTCAGGGGGCCCTAAGAAAGATGCATGGATCACCCGAGGAAGGAGAAATAGATGAGATCTCCTGAGTAAACTAGGGGCAAGGTGGGCAATAGCGGGTAGGGGATAGGGGATGAGAACATAAGGGAACAGGATGGTCGAGCTGAAACAGGGACAGAATGGGAGAGCAATGAAAGAGATATCTTGATAGAGGAAGACATCATAGGAATAGGGAGAAACCTGGTACTAAGGAAGTTCCCAGGAATCCATAAGGATGACCTCAGCTTGACTACTAGCTGACTTGTTTTAAAGACAGGAGTGTTTTACCATAGAAATAATCAATGCTTGTGTTAATATTTTATTTTATTTTTTAGATTCTATTCATACTGGTAGAAGAGGTAATCTGTATTCACAAAATCACATGAATGAGACAGGAAATTCATGAGATATAAAGTCCATTGCTAAACAATTTAGCTGTGATTCTTGGAAATAAACATTGATATTGTATTTTATAATATTTAATTCAGTTGTGTGCAATACTGTAAAGCCCAAGTCTCCCTTATTGTTTTCAACAGTCATAGATCTTTAACATTGCCTAGAAGCAGCTAATCTCTTCCCAGACACTTGAAAAGAACATCTTTTAAACTGTATGAAAGATGACTTAAGACGTTAGGAAGAAAATAGATCATGATCATAATTAGAAGACTAAAACTCATTCACCCATTCTTCTACTTACTAATCATTTAGCATTTTTCCTTACCTATGTACTGGACATCAGAATGGATATGAAATGGATTATGTGATTAAAGAGAAATTATCAAAGACATTTCTTATCTATCCAGTTTTTTCAGATATTTTCTAAGAAAAGAAATAAAAAGTCATTCTGCTTTTCTATTTCATGTACTCTGCAAACTAAACAAAATTTTAGAAAGATTGGTCTCCAGCAGAAGCCAAGGGCCGCTCCAAATAGAAGAATTCAGAACTTTGTCATGAAGACACTGCATACTACTTTGTAATTGCCTGAAAACAAATATTATGCCATATGGCTATTAGAACTTTCTAGAATTTGGGATCTCTGTTAGGACAATGTACTGTTTCCCTCAGAATTCACATTTTGGCTTTAGAGCTTCTTTACCATTGGGTTTAGGATGTAAGTCTCATCAATAAGATTCTGGCTAAGAAAACAACTTCCATGCCATTGTTTCCATGCTGTGGAGGTAAAGACAGAGCTACAGACTACACAGAGGAGCTACAGGAAGGAAGACACAGTTCAGATTAACTAGTTCAGACATCCATTAGATAAAGTCAATTACTCTCAATGGAGAGTACTATGCTTTCTGTTTAAGAACCAACACATAAAATAGCCTACATTGAGCAACAGTGTCCAGTTATAGGATGCTATTTGCTAGTCACTGATATATTGATACTTGGAGACTTAACCCTGCTTTCTATTGGAATGAGTTTTATCGAAATAATAAATGAGTTAATTTGTATTTAATGTTGATTTTGCCAGCAATATTTCTAGATACTTGGTATTTTATCAACTAGTTCCCTAAGACACCTACCCAAGGTAGCTTCTATTGTTACCTTCATTTTGGAGATTTGAACAATGAAATGGAAGTTGAATAAATAATAGCTTTAAGACCATGTATCCAGTTAAAGGAAGACCAGTAGAATATGGAAGGAAGATATTGAACTGGATAAGTTGACTGTATTTTCTTTGCTCTTTAACAATCTAATTCATCTTGCCAGATCCTTGGCCAAAATATAACTGCTTTTTATAAGAAAGACTTATAGTCACTGGACAATACATTTAATGATAGACTCATGTTTCCCATACAAACCTGGTAAGTTTTTAACACACTCACACATGGACACTACATTTTCAATACTGCCCAAAGCAAAGTTTCATCACATATCAAAATTGGAAATACAGTGGTAAATTTGATAATCTTCCAAAAAACATGTAAGTATGAAGTGTTATTTAGTGTAAATATAGGAGTTTATGGAAATAATAGTAATAGTTTTAGAGATTTTTTTATATTCTTGAAGTCTTACTCATTTTTCTAAATTTCACAGCTGTACAATGCCTGGCACATGGTATATACTAAGTAAATATTATCTTCCTCCCTTCTAAAAGAAGCCATATTTATGCCAAATTAATCAATGATATAAATTGGTGTTAAGTGTTTCAGTACATTCTTGTCCTTTCAGCACCCAAAGGTTGAGTGAGGATTGCTAGAGTACCAGGCTAACCTGGCTACAGTGTGAGACCCTGTCTCTAAAATATAAGGGTGGTGCATATTTCTTAGACAACAAAACGCTGGCCACTTTAGAATATAACTGTGGAGCAATTTCTGAAAATGACTTTGTACTGGGAAAATTCCATCGGTGATATTATGAAAACAAATAAAAGCAAACCAAATATACTTTATGAGAAAAAGCCCCATTCTCCAAGACACAATAAAATTGTTGAAAACTAGGGAACAGTCATGAGGCTCCCAGTAATGAGACAGGAGAGAGCATTTCAGCAATGTTTTCATTTTGCAAAATCATCTATCACAGAAAAGTATTCTGAATTGTCTGTCTTGTTTTCAATTTTGCCAAAATATATTCAGACAAAATAGCTTGAATTGGCTATCTTGTTTTTCTATTTTATTCCAGATTTATTTCTGATTATAGCTCCTTTTTTGAATTTAGATGTTTTCTCTTTGGGGGAATGAATAGTATTATGTTCAGTCTTCTCTTGCCACTCTGAAATGAACAAGAAAAAGTTCCAGGATGATCAGTTGTTTTCTTCATGGAGTTCTTCTCCTTCTACCAGGCTGTTCAGAACCTCTGGGGATGAAATCAGGGCATATCCAAGACTACCAGATCACAGCCTCCAGCGTCTTCAGAACACTCAACATGGACATGTTCACCTGGGAACCACGGAAAGCCCGGCTGGACAAACAAGGCAAAGTAAATGCTTGGACATCTGGCCACAACGACCAGTCACAGTGGTTACAGGTAATGGCCTGAGATGGTTTCACCGTCCATCACTCCTATGCCTTAAAAGATTTCCTAGTGGCTACCTGAATGTCAGAATTACTATGTTATGCTGCTTTAAATATGATTTCATATTTGAGTTTCCCAAACTGGGAAAACAGAAATAACTTACAAAATCATATCTCTGGCCTGTATTGATATATAGATGCAGCCTGTGGACAAGTTGGCTGGGAAAACTGTACCAGATCACACTATACAAACCTAATCAAATTTGTGTATCACCTGATCAAATTTGAGACAATCTGCTTGCTAGGTTTTTATCTGTTCTGATGCTTTGCATTTTATTTAATATTGGCAATTAACATCAGTATCAATCCAAAAACAATGGAGTCATGCCTCTGACCGACAGGGAGTCTCATAGTGTCATGACTCATGACAGTGTCTCCTTCCCTGTGGTTGCAAAGCAATGGGATAATTTGATTACACTCTCCTCATACAATTAATTTATAAAAGATATGTGAATTCTACTGCGTCTGATGATCACTTACAATTAAAGTAAGGTTACATCTGATCCTTTTAAAATAGTCCTCTTGAAATACCTTTATTTGTGGGATACCTTTACGCATGCATAGCTTTGTTCATGTCTCCTGAGGCAACAAAAATATGATGGCTCAATTTCATGAGATTATTTTCTTTCATAAGCGCGAGCTCCACTTTGATTTTACATTTTATTAATGAGTTTCAAAACCTGTGATAAACCATGGTATGTCTGTAAACCCTGGAAACACTTAAAATAACAGATGTTAACCCTTACCAAGTCACATTTGTCATTACTAAGGTCACCTGAAATTTCCGGTCCTATTCCCATTTTGTCACTCAGTTTTACAATTTTATGTTCCCATAATCAGAAATAGTCATTTTTTTATAGTCACCTTAAAATTTGCTTGACTCTTTACTTGGCTTATAAATGTTATGGGTGACTGTATATGAGTTTTTCCTATAATTTTTTTAAAGTGCGGGTGGGTTTCCTGTACATTACTTGGTCATCCAGCCTGCTGTTCTATTCTAGCCTTTAGCACTGCCCACTGTGTTAAATCATTTATGTAACGAGTGATTATGTGTCATGCACCTCTGAAGCATCACGTGCTCAAGCCCTAGCCTTCTTCAGGCTCTGAAGACATCTCTTGGTTCTTAGAATTCATCTTTAAATGGACTGACAGGACACCAAACTTTGTTGTCCTCTTTCCCGATGTTGCTAAGTGTTCTCTCCTAACCCCCCTTCATCACCCGGTTACCCTCTCCCTAAAGTCTCTCTTACCAACTCCATGGGCTCCGATTAACTGATTTACCAAGTACTGGTGATTTCAGCTACTCAGAGGAGACCAGGGTATCTTGAAATGATTACTATTCTTACAACCCTCCCGTCACTTCCTGATCTGAACTGCCACCCCTATTTCTTGGGTTCATCCTGAGGCTCATTAACCATCTTCCCAGTTTTTAGTCCTATGCTTTTTAAAAAATTCTGTTGTTCTAATCATAACTTGTGAGCATGAGTGGGAGGCATGTTCATGAGTGTATGCTAAAATGAAAATACAGTTCTCTTTTGCTCTTGCTGAAAAATTTTTGTTGCTTTCTCTGAGAATAAAATATAAATTCCTAATACAACCTACAGTCTTTCCCTGATTGTCCTTATTCATTTTTTACCACACTCCTTTTCATTTCCTCAGATGTAACACCCTCTGTCTCTCGTTGTTCTGTTACAAATTTACTCTTCCTAGAGAAAAGGAGAACAAGAAATCACCAGCCTCTGACACTAGATCCTTCAGCGTAGCTTTGGATGTTGCTTTCTGTGCAGAGGCTAGGCCGTTAGCATTGCCCTACTTCATCTGATCTAGGATCTCTCCTATGTTTACCTGTCTCACATTATCAGGCATCAATACCTTCCAAGACCCCCATGTAGGCTGGAAACCATACATCACACGTGATCATGTATAGAGTTTTCTTCCAGTATGCTTTGCAGTACTGTCAATTTGTGAAAGAACTAAATCTAATTCATCTTTGTTTTGTGATTTGATGGCTCCTTTTCATCATTACTCTTACGTTTGTGTGCAATTTAGAAGTAAAATAAATCTTACTTGAACAAAATCATTTCAACATAGTGATAGGCTATCTAATCAACATGGCTACTTAATGACTAATGGGCAGGCAGCACACACAGCATAGATCCACTGAACAAGGAGATGATTCATGTGTTGGGCTGTACAGAGTATGGCAGCTCAGCCTCCCATGGCACCACTCAGAAAGGATTGCTCTTTAAGAGTTGTGAAATATTTATTGCTGGAATTTCTACTTAATGCTTTTGAATTGGGTTGGTCATCAGCAACTGGAACATGAGGAACGGAAACCATAGAAAAGAGGACTGCTGTTCTCCCATGCTTTCAGCAACACCCTTGCTGTAGCACTATGAAACAATTTTGAAATTGTCGTATCATGCCTGATTGTTAGCTTCAGAATGTCTGGTGTATTGGAATGGCTGTCTGTTTACTTTCTCAGCTTGTACTCCAGTGCCTAACCAAATATAATAATTAATACTGACGTGTAGGAGATACTTCACAATGACTTGCATGTTAAAATTATTTCAACAAATGCATTTTGCTCTATACAGTATATATTTGAATTTTAGTATAAAAAGGCAATTATCATATATTTTCAAATCTTTTTTTTGTATTAGGTATCAAATTAACCCAAACATATTAGGCAAGCATTTTGCCATTGAGTAATGACTGCAACCCTTAAAATGATTATATGATTTTAAATATCTATGTATGTATGCATATATATGAAATTTTTTCATCAAACATCAAGCTTTTAAAACAGTAGTAACAATATACATCCTTTCAAACTCCTGGTGTGAGCAAACCATGGACAATGTCCATTGTCATGATTAATATTAACAATAATAAATATAAACTAACTTTGACATTTGGCTATAAAATATTTAAAAATTATAAGTATCTCAGTCTCCCCCAAGATTATCTGAATATAAGTAAACTTATTCATGATTCATAATGTCTTGTAGAGTTCTGAAAAATATTGTACAGACAAATAGCAACTCAAGCAGATGGGATTATTCTAGAAATATGCATAAAGGAACGGCTAAAGGAAAATTTCTTTAGAAGATTAAAATGAAACAAATACAGTTTACATGAATAGAGATGTAGTTCTCATAGATAACCTCCATCCATCACTTCGCTTAACATGTCTTCTTAAAGGCTCTTGCACACTGGTATCGATTCATTCTTTTGATGACATATTTTCTGTCAATCCTGAGACTAGTTTTTCAAGTGGACATCTAATTTTTGTCATGTCAAAACCTATCCAGACTCTCCAATGAAAGACAAACTGACAACTTCTTTTATTTATATATTTTTCTGACATTGTGCAAGGAAGGACTTCCAGAATGTGACTCTTTTCCCATGTTTTCTACTTAAGAGGATGTAATCTATCCATGGCACACTGTTAGCATGGGTGCTGGGTAGTGTATAGTTGAAAGTATAATTAATGTTTCGTACAAAACAATGTATATGGTGATTTTTGAACTGTTGACATATAGACCAGTTTTTATCCTTAAACAAGGTTTCTGAAATCATTTATTTTGTTGTGTTTTAAGATATAATTCATCAATCATGAGCAATACATCTTGAGAAAGGAAGCCCTTCTGTCATCTGAATTACCTTTATTCCTTGCTAATTTTTTCTTAATTTTTAAAAAGTTTCTTTCAGCAATACATAGAAGAGTCGTGTTCAGGCTTAATCTTTGTTATAACTTAATCTAATAATATTTGTAAATGAAATTTATTGGAAGTTAATCCTACCAAATACTCTTCCATTTAATTATGACATATGAGAAGACATTTTTAATGCCTTTCTTTAAGAATTCCTATGTTTTAAATATAATTTCCACATGTAATGCTTATTAGTACTCTAATTTTCTTTCCTGTCTTCTGTGATATGGAAGTATCTGGAACTTTCAGGCAGATCCTGTTAGTGTTTCAAGTGTGAAAATCATGACTGATAAGATTTCTTGAATTACTGCTAATCATGAATCCTTATTAAGGGTCTACCTAAACATGGCAAAAGTGTATGTAGGTTCAGAGGCAACCTTAAAGGAGGCATTTCTCAGACTTCCTAAAGAATGGCCTTCTATCAGGCTGTGATGTGTTCCCCGAAACTTGATAAAATAATCAAATCTTTATACCAAAAGTCCCATCAAGATGGTTTCTAGAATGTCTGCCAAAATTAAAGTATATTTTCTGCTTCTTAAAACTCTCATTGTTTCAGTAAATGAAATATCCTATAGTAATGTTGCCAGATCTATGAATATTTCTCACACATAGTTGGATTATCAAAAATTTTACCCTATAAAAGAGTTAAGTATCTACTGGGACTGGGCTCTACAGCTTCACATTTGATTAGTTGTAGTTTTCTGTGATGATCTCCATCTGTGGCAGAGAAATTTCCTCAACAGGGGGTGAGGACCACACTTATCTTTGTGTATTAGGAAACATGTTTAGAATGTATTTAGAGATTATGCTGCTTTAGTGAAGTACAGAACCAGACATGATTTCCTTATCTTAAGACCAATCCAAATAGAGAGCTTTTGGTTACTGTAAGTTATATGTTCCTTTACTGATATATGTAATATATGTACCTTTACTGTACCCTTGCAGTTATCATGCCCTGCTGGTCACTGTTGTGGCTCATAGGCATCATAGCCGGGTAGGTCTCTTGGTCATTTCCCTCCTTTGGAAGCTTCAGTGGCCTTTGAGTCTATGAAAGCTACTCTGCAGGAGGGAGGCATTCAGGACAGTTGCCACTCAGGGGCCTTTGGGTACTGTATCTGAGTGCATAGAGTCTTAAGCAGTAAGAACTTAACTTCTAACTCTAGCGGGGAGTCTCTTGGACATCTCTGACCAACAACTCAAAGACAGCTTCTTGTCTGGTGTTAGCTTTGGGGAAAGC